CCAACCAGTAAAGGGGTACTAGGACGACACTTGATAACGTTTGGAGCATTGAGTTAGGTGGGGAACTCGAGGTATCTCGCCTCAAAGTTTACAAATGTCAGAAAAATCTACCAAAAATGCCGTTTTCGAACATTTTTAAAGCCCTGGTGAATCCGCATTTTTTCTCGACGCCAAGTAGTTGAGGGGTACTAGAACAACAGTTGAGATCATTTGGAGCATTGATCTAGGTGGGGAACTCGAGATATTTCGCCTCAAAGTTTCAAAATTTTCTAAAACCTACCAAAAATGCCATTTTCTGACCTTTTTGAAGCCCTGGCTTCGGCTCTATGGCGAATCCGCAACTTTTGTCGACGCTAACTAGTTAAGGGGTACTAGGACAAGACTTGGCAACATTTGGAGCATTGAGCTAGGTGGGGAACTCGAGATATTTCGCCTCAAAGTTTACAAATGTCCCAAAAATCTACCAAAAATGCCATTTTCTGACCGTTTTGAAAGCTTGGCTTCGGCTCTATGGCGAATCCGCAACTTTTCTCGACGCCAACCAGTAAAGGGGTACTAGGACGACACTTGATAACGTTTGGAGCATTGAGTTAGGTGGGGAACTCGAGGTATTTCGCCTAAAAGTTTACAAATGTCAGAAAAATCTACCAAAAATGCCGTTTTCGAACATTTTCGAAGCCCTGACTTGGGCTCAATCCGCAACTTTTCTCGACGCCAAGTAGTTGAGGGGTACTAGAACAACAGTTGAGATCATTTGGAGCATTGATCTAGGTGGGGAACTCGAGATATTTCGCCTCAAAGTTTCAAAATTTTCTAAAACCTACCAAAAATGCCATTTTCTGACCTTTTTGAAGCCCTGGCTTCGGCTCTATGGCGAATCCGCAACTTTTGTCGACGCTAACTAGTTAAGGGGTACTAGGACAAACTTGGGAAAAATTTGGAGCATTGAGTAGGTGGGGAACTCGAGGTATTTCGCCTAAAGTTTACAAATGTCCAAAAAACTACCAAAAATGCCTTTTCGAAAATTTTGAAAACCCTGGCTTGGGGTCAAAGGGAATCCGCAACTTTTCTCGACGCCAAAGTAAAGGGGTACTAGGAAAAACATTGAAACTTTGGAGCATTGATTAGGTGGGGAACTCGAGGTATTTCGCCTAAAGTTTCAAATTTCAAAAACCCACCAAAAATGCCTTTTCGAAAATTTTTTGAAGCCCGGCTTGGGGTCAAAGGGAATCCGCAACTTTTTCGACGCCAATAGTTAAAGGGGGACTAGAAAAAATTGGAACATTTGGAGCATTGACTAGGTGGGGAACTCGAGATATTTCGCCTCAAAGTTTACAAATTTTCAAAACCCACCAAAAATGCCATTTTCTGACCTTTTGAAAACCCCCGGGTTCGGCTCTATGGCGAATCCGCAACTTTTTCGACGCAACCAGTTAAGGGGTACTAGGGCAAACTTGGGAAAAATTTGGAGCATTGAGTTTGGTGGGGAACTCGAGGTATTTCGCCTCAAAGTTTACAAATGTCCCAAAAAAACTACCAAAAATGCCTTTTCGAACCTTTTAAAGCCTTGGTTATCGCCCCAACTTTTCTCGACGCCACAGTAAAGGGGGTACTAGGACAAAATTGAAACGTTTGGAAACATTGAGTTTGGTGGGGAACTCGAGTATTTCGCCTCAAAGTTTCAAAATTTTTTAAAAACTACCAAAAATGCCTTTTCGAAATTTTTAAAACCCCTTGGTTTGGGGAAACCGCAACTTTTCTCGACGCCAATAGTTAAGGGTACTAGGAAAAAATTGGACTTTTAAACATTGAACTAGGTGGGGAACTCGAGATATTTTGCCTCAAAATTTCAAATTTCAAAACCTTTCCAAAAATGCCATTTTCTGGCCTTTTTGAAGCCCTGGCTTCGGCTCAAAGGGAATCCGCAATTTTCTCGACGCCAATAGTTGGGGTACTAGGACAAACTTGAGAACATTGGGGCATTGAATTTTGGTGGGGACTCAGGGTATTTTGCCTCAAGTTTAAAAAGTTTTAAAACCTTTCCAAAAATGCCATTTTCTGGCCTTTTGGGAAACCCTGGCTTCGGCCCAAAGGGAATCCGCAATTTTTTCGACGCCAATAGTTAAGGGTACTAGAAAACACTTGAGTTTATTTGGGGCATTGTTAGGTGGGGAACTCGGATTTTTGCCTCAAATTTAAAAAGTTCCCAAAAAAATTTTTACCTTTTAACGGGGTATGGCAATTTTGAATTTTTTGGAATATTTCCCCTTTTAAATTTAATTTGAGGGGGCTGGGGGTTTTTTCATCATTTTTAAAAAAAACCCTTTGGCAAATTTTTTTTTAAATTTCAATTTTTAGGTGCGAGGGACCTTTCAATTAACCTTTTTTAATCCCTCCCAATTTTTTCCCTTTTTTAAAAATTGGGGTAATTTTTGAAGGGGAAAACAAAAGAGAAAAATGGTAAAGAAGTATGGAAAATTAACTCATTTAGGCGGG